TTGCACATCACAGCGCTCAGATAGGACATGTTTGAAAGAGGCAGCTTCACATTGTAAGATGGTCTTTTAGATAATGCACCTCCTAGTGTTGAACTTTCTTTCACAGAAGCAGATATGAGAAATTTGAAAAGCCTGTGCACTGTGAGAATATCAGAAGAAAGAGGAAGCAAGCACGTTTAAAGAAATCATGAGCAGCAGCCTGAAACAGAGGACTGGAATTATTCAGAGTGCCTGTCTTTGTGAACATCTCACAACCCAGGATGACATTCATCTTGGGGAAAGAATTTAAATAAGCAGCTGAAATAGTTAGGTACTGAGATGAAATTTGAAAATAAAGATTTTTAAAAAGTTTCACACAATTGCAAGATGACAAATGGATGTGCTTAAATTGGCACACTGAGGACAGTAAGCAGACACTTTGTAAAAGAATTTATGTCACTGTTTGGGAATGACACCTTTGTCTATTTTATATCTTTTATTCTCTCTTACACATGATATTTAGAATTCTGCAGAACTCTTTTTTCTGGATATTAAAAATGACTTTAGCAACTTCATAAATTCTAAGGAGGGGAAGGGATAAGAAGGAGAAAAATAATAGGAAATTCAATTTCTTTCATTTAGCATCTTGACATTAAAGAGACATTCCATATGTGAGTGTTTTAAGAACAGTTTCCACTCCATACCAGTTCTTACTCTGAGCAACACAGTGTCCTGTAAATGCACATTGCTGTGTGTAGTGCTAAGGGACTTACTACAAGGCTCAAAATTCTATTTAGTCCTTGGGCTTCAGCGTCTCCTCAATTCTACCACTACTCCTGTGCAGCAGAAGATGGAGCGGCTTTTGGAGAGTACTTTTCTATTCAACGTAACTTTTATCTCTTCTGCCTTTCAAGTAGAAGCTGGCATAGGGCTTGGAAATTGTTGGACCAGCAGCTTTTTACCTTTGGAGTTTCTCCTCCTTCCCCTTTGGATGACAGAGTGGAGTATTTTGGATCATAGGCCTGACGGTCCATCAGAATCAATCACTACCTGATTACTTTCTCCTGGACAAGCTTTCCAAAGAGGCGAATTTTGTCTGGTGAATGAGTGGGAGGTACAGAAACTCCTCCCAGGTGGAGATGGAGGGAGAGCCCCTTGTGCTTTGTGGAATCACAGATGCACAGGCAGCGGACACAACAGTGAGTGTTGACAGGACAACAGGGAGTCGGGATCCTCCACTTCTCCACCTTTCAGCCACCCAAGAAATATTTACTGAGCACTTACTGTACACCTGACATGATTCTTTGGTGCCAGATTAAATTGTTGAATTAGCCCAAAGTTTGTTCAATTTGCCAAAAAATTGGTTGCAGTAATACAAGCCAACAGAATTCAGTGTCAAAGAGTATGTGTTCTAGTAGAGGGGATACATATGAAACATGATTCATAAATAAATTACATAGCTTGATATGTAGTGATGGATGGTAAGGAAAAAAAAAAGGAAGAATAGGGAGGTTTATGTGCATGCACATGCATACATAGCTAGTTCAGATAGCTTGGTTTAAATAGTTTAGATAGCATGGCCAGGGAAGATTTTACTGAGAAGATGGGTTTTTTTGAGTGATGAGAACCTGTAGAAAGGGTTGAGAGGTGCCTCAGATAGGATTGCTGAGGTTGGAAGATTCTAAGTAGTGGGAGCAGCCTATGCAAAGGCCCTGAGGTGGGATTGCACTTAGCCTGTTTGAGCAACGGCAATGAGGCCAGTATATCTACAGAAGATTAATCCAGGGCTTGTAAGAGAGGAAAGGGATGCAACAGAGCTCAGATAATTTAGGATCTTTGGTTTTCATTTCTCAAGAGATGGTTAGCCTTTGAAGGGTCTTGAATGGAGGAGTGGCCTGATCTCCTATTTTCAGAGGACTGTGGTGAGAATAAACTGAAGGGGAGAAGCAGGGAGATGAGTTAGGAGACACGGACAATAATCCAGCTGAATTTGTCAGGGAAATGAGTGGTGGTTTATAGGCTGTTTAGTCTGTAACATCCTTTACAAGCTGAGTTCCAACTACCAGAGCCAAAAATTGCCTAAGCACTTCATTGTTTACCTGGAATCCAGCTGGCACATCGAAGCAGATGGAAAATGGTTCCAAGTACAAGTGTATAAAACAACAAGTTGCCCTGCTGCTTGGCACAGTTCTCCCTTAAAGGCCTCTTGTGTTTGTGTTGCTCCTTCTCATAACTGCTAGAACAGCCACAGTCTTCACTCCCCTTTTCACTTTCTTACTAAAACAGCAATGACCCATTGCACTTATTTAGGAGCTTTGCCTGGTCTAGCTATTAATTTAAACTTTATAGGAAATTAAAAAGCTTTCTCATATACTGGATTGGATCTTGGAACTAAAAAGGGATATTAGAGGGAGGAAAAAAAGAAATGGAGGAAATCTACATAAAGACCGGATGTAGTAAATAGTTTTATAACCAATAGTTAACTGTGATGATTACTATGGTGAATATACTCAGTCAATGAGGTAAGTATAGAACGTTAACTCTAGAAGCAGCCAGATGAAGGATGTATGTAAACTACCTGTCCTAACTATGGGATATTCCTATAAATTTAAAATTCTTCTGAAGTTAAAAAAAAGGAAATAAAAAAGCCCCCTCAAAGGGAAAACTAATCACACAAGTGTGAAAATTTTGAAAGCCTTCTTTTCAGAGATTAAATCGGCCCACAGATATATTCTGTACTTAGTCATCTTTTTAATCTATTACTATATTAAGAACTGGGTTGTTATTATCTAATGCAATACAATTAGAAAATCACTACTCTTTTTATTACTTCATTTAGCTTAAACTGAATTTCAAATTTTTCACTTGCCCCTCGGATTAAATGCACACATTCCACTTATCCCTAAGATATACTCTTCCTTGGGAATGGATTTGCTTCAAGATTATTTACCAGTATAAAGTCTTACCATTTGTTGATTTTCTTTCTTTTTTGCCTTCTTCCAATCTTCTATGACTTCATTCTTGGTATCCACCCACATCTTCACTGAATAAACTTGATTGAATACAACTGACCCTTAAAACTATATGTCCATTTTGTTCTTTTTTACACTAAAATCTGACCTTTATTTGTTTACTGTTTTGAAGCTTTGGGGAAAGAATTAACCACTATGCTAAAAAAAACCCTGATTGTATGAGCCAGAAATAATGAATGCACATGTCTCTAGGGACAGGCAAGTGACATAAAGTGTAAGGCAGTAAAGTGTAATGAATAGAAACACAGGCCTACTCTATTGGATCTTAAAATGGTTCTTATTTTGACTATTTCTGGGAAGTCATCACTTTTCTAGAATCTCAATGGAGCCCGTTTCCAAATAAATGAGCCTGTTTCCATATAAATACGGGTTATGGATTAGTTAGGTAATAAGAGAAAATGTAACTGATTACAGTTTGAAGTAGTCACCAGATAGGAACAAAATTTATGTTTCCACATAAGGCAAAAAAGAAAATTGATGAAATTTTAACCTAATATTGACTGGCACAATGGTACGGTGGGGTCTTCACAGTTATTTGTCAGGACAGCACTTAAGACAACATAGAAAGCCGGCAAGCAGACTCTTAGCCAAAAAAAACTTTAGGAAGGAGCCCTGTACTTACAAATATAACAAATTTGTGTGCCTTCCAGTGTGTTGAGCTAAGAAAGTTCTTTCTAATGTCAACTTTGAACTTCCCCTGCTGTAAATTAAGCGCATGGTAGACAGGTAAAACCAATACAATCAGAGTACCATTACCAATTTCAGGGAGGTCTTAATGAAATGTTTAAGAGACAAAGGATGAAGTCAAATAAGCCAACCATGTCAGGACCACAAATATATACCAGAAACATGGGGAGATAGAACACATAGTGGTAGCCTTGACTCCTGTATCCCTGGGATGTGCAGGTTCAGGGAGAGAGCAGTATCTTCTTGGACCCTCTCAGCAAAACCAACTGTACCGAACTGTGACTGGCTGATCACTCCAGCTCACCAGGGAAGGGTCCTCTGGAGCTTTGGCATCTCCTCCACACTCCAAAGTGAGCTTTTTGTCACAGCTCTGTGGCCACAGACCCTAACTAAGCAACAGCATCTTCTCACCTACATCACAAAGGATGTTGACAGAAAAGCTCCTCTAAAGGCATAATGGTCAGTTGGAAGGCTGGAGAACTGCCACAGTGCTATATCCAGCCCCACCCTGCCTGCATTGCCCCTTGATATCCACAGCCTAAAATAGGTTAAATTGCTACAATAAATCCACCCTATTTTTACTTTAGCACACTCTTTTATACAGAAAAAAGCTACAGTAACAGCAATGAGTGCAACAAAACCCCTGTAATAGTCCTTTTTATGCCCAAGGATAGATGTTTTAAATTTGGAACCTGTGGCTATTTTGCCCTTTCTATTTTAGTTAGCGAAGTGGAATCAAACAGAAGCATTCTAAGGTGGAAAGGTCAGGGCTGATTTAAGGAATCAGGGTGGCTCCTGGATGGCCCGTGTGCTATGGAAATGCTTTCTTTATGATTCTACATGGCACATGCTTGTTAGGAAAACAGCCAGTTCCCCCTGTCGCCTTGTATATGTCCATATAAACAGCAACAGGGTTGTGCACAGAGGTCAGAGAGGGATTTTATCCTGGATATCACTCTGATCACTCATATTTACACAGTAGCACAACTGATATTTTCATACTTTTCAAGCTCCCATGGTAGTTTCACTAATTTCAAGTAAAAATATTTTCCAGGTGCATTTGAAGAAATCCATTTGAGGGGTCACCAGTTATGGTCAATAGTTATGGGCTAGCCTATTGACACGGAGGGCTGAATTTTTACTTGTCATAATTGCTGGAAAGTAGTTGGACATTCACTTCTCTGAGGTGATTTCAATTAATCCTGGTTGGCTGTGGGGGAAAAGAGTGAGGGTTACGGGACCCTCCCACCGCTCAGGGCTGTGGGAGATGGACAGGCTCACTGGGAGAGCAGGTCTGCTCACCTCCCCCCAGGCAGCTGGTGGGGGCTCCACCGGAGGGTAGTACTTAGGCACGTCCCAGGCCACGGCAGCCATGAACCATTTGAAGTCCTTGCACTTCAGCTGTTTTCGAAGCTCCTTCTGGGCTGAGATGTCCCCAGTGGAGAGGTGCCGGTACTCGGGCCGCCTCTGGTAAATGTATTCTGCAAATTCATCCATCCATGTCTCAGCGACCCGCTTCAGGTTCTGCGAGGCAGAAAAACAAACACATCATCAATTGACTTCTATGCTCAAAGGGTGGTTTAAGTTCCACCCGAAGTTTAAATGAGGAAAGTAAAAGAAATAAGACAGCCGCAGGCAACTCCGGTGGGTGGCTTATTAACAACGACAGTTTTTCTAACTGCAAGGGGTGTGATCCAATTAGCCTGTGGCTTTGCACACATTCTGCTTCCCATATGGGGTTCAATAGCCAATTTGGCAAGTGATTTATCTGAGCTGGTGAAGATTCAGCTCACAATTACATCAACTTTCTAACTCCTGTTATTTCATGAATATATCTATATATATCTTATTTTTCACACAGAACTAAAGGAGGAAAACTGGAGGGAATGAAGTTCTTAGGAATCAAATTGCTTAAAGCATTTTAAGAAACAGACATATTGTAAAGTATGAGGACAAACAAGTGTTACTTGTTTCTTTCAACTATAGTGAAAGAGACTGACATTGCTGAATTCAATACCTATGTTCTGATACTGTGACATGTACACCAATCACAATCAGAATTTACTAATTTACTATATGATGATAGCGCTAAGGAAAGTAGCAGGGGCCAGTCTTCTGGGAAGATGTTCTCTGGGGAGTGGGAGAGGAAGAGAAAGAATGACGATAGGAAAATAAGCACATTCCTTAGAAGTAGAAGATCGTAGGGGTTTCAGAATAGGAAGCTCAGCTTTCTGTCATTTTTTAGATTGAACAAGTTACTTTCCCACTGTCAGCCTCAGATTGTTCACCTGCAAATGGCAACAATAATATGTACCTAGGTCATGGGAGTGGGTGTTGGGTTAAATAAGGTAACACCTGTAAACTGCTCAGAACGGTACTTACAACAGTATAGATACTATGGAAAATAGGGCTATTGTTATTATTATTACTACTATTATTATTAGTGGTAAAAAGTGAAGGGTTGGACGTTGGCCAGTTGGGGTATTGGGCTTGGCCACACATGATACAACTGTTCCTATGGCCTTTGAGAAGGGCTTCAGTGGCACTGGGAAGCTCTCTGACATCACTTCCAGCCCTAAAGTGCTAAGTGATGATGAGAACAACTGTATTTGCCCAGAAGTTTTTTTTTTTTTTTTTTTTTGTGAGTTTTGAGGCAGGGTCTCCCTTTGTAGTTCAGGCTGGCCCTGAACTCACTATGTAGCCCAGGCTGGCCTCGAATTCGCGGCGATCCTCCCGCCTCAGCCTCCTGAGTGCTGGGATCACAGGCATGCGCCACCATACCTGGCTTGCCTGGAAGTTTTGATGCCTCCATCTTTAAGCACATTTCCATAGGCTGGTGTCCCCTAGACTCTGGTTTTTATTATTTCTGCTTCAAGTTCCTTATTTTAAGTGCTTGGTTGGCATGAGTATTAACATTCCCTAGCTTCTCATTTGCACTTAGAAGACAATGAGCACAATGGCTGGAAAATTCAGTAAGACCTAGACATAAGTGAATAATGTGAAAACTAGTGATAGTTAGAAAAATCACTATTTAAAAAATTGCTAGGAAACTCTAATTCGGGTCTGGGAGCATGCCCAAACTTGGCTGGATTTGGAGTCACAATTTCTGACATATTATTCCTACTGGGATCTTACATTCCACCTCCAGTGATTCTGCCATTTTCTGCTATTGTCCTTGCTCTATGTCCTTCATGGGCTTTTTGGTCACTTTTGTCAATAATGAGCTCAAAGAAAGGCTCAGTTAATACAGTAAGATGCAGAAAAGACCACTCTGATTTCTTGGCTTCTGTTCTTCCTACCTTTCTGAGATACCTAGTGAATAGATAGGTGGGTAAGAAAATGATATTGACCATGCAAGAATTATCCCCTGAAGGGTTGTTATGTACTGGTGTTGGTGGTGTAATATCCCATCACCGTTATTTCTCCCATAACGCTTTCCATTCCTCTCACTCCATTTTACCTTGACAGCTGGACAGAGCTAACTTTGTTTTGTAATATTCTAGCCCTTGCCACTGATTCTGAATTGCCCAATTAATTTGGGGATATGAAAGGAAGCAGATGATGTCTTGAGGTCCTAAACTGGGAAGACACCATCTACTACATCCATAGCTGAAACCTAAGTGCGAGTCTTCAGTGTCATCTTGTCAATTACATTTCATGTGGACAAATGGTTTGAAATACATTCTATTTTTGTTTGTCTTCAGACAGGTAATTTTTATGATCATTAGCAAAAATGATAGAATAGAAAAAATTAGCTGATAATCTTTAAAAAGTTTCATTTATAATAAAATTTGGTTTTAGACTGTAGTTCCAACCTTTTTTTTCCTAAACTGAAATTATTAAATATAGTGGAAATATTTTAATTTTCACATATTTTACATTTCTCTGATAAGTGAAAGTTAAAAGTCAGGAAAAAGCAAAGGCAGAGAGACAAATTACCTGGGAATAATGAGAAAGTGACTTTATTAAGGAGGAATATGCTTGAAAAAAATGATTTGTCCTGAATCTATTTGACCTGTATAAATAAGAACTTTTAAGCTGAAAGTGGAAAAATAGATATCTATTTTTGTAATGAAGTGTCCGATACCTCTTGTGGTTCCAAGCATGTTAGATCATCTGGACACTCTAATCTTTAATAATTAAGAAAAAGATCATACTATAAAACGAATGAATAAATGCAGAGCTTGCCTATGTATCTATTAATAAAGGCACTAAAATAAGGACAGTGAAAAAAAGGTGCCATTACTAAAATGTAGATTTTTGTTTCTTTGGTTTTTATTAGTACACATTTTGATACATGATGAATAATTTATCCAGGGGAGTTGGTACATATTCATATTGTTGATACATATCACATGTTAATCATTTTTACTTTCCGTTACCCCCTTCTATCCCTAGATTGCTATTCCATCTCCAAAAAGTCTACCTTCCTGTGTCCTAATATCTATCATTTATTCTGCTCTTTAAATTATATATACTTTGGGTTTCTCATATAAGAGAAACCATGCTCCATTTAAACTTTTTCTGATTTATTTCACTTAGCATTATGATTTTAAGCATTTTTCTACAAATTTATGCTTCTTTATGGCTAAGTAGTACTCCATTGGGTATATAAACCACTTTTTCTTTGTCCATTCATCTGTTTATGACATATAAGCCATTCCCAAGATTTAGCTACTGTGAGTTGTGCTACTTTTTTTTTTTAAGTTTTTGAAAGACCAATGGGAATTATTGCAAAAATTCAAAAAGTAACTGGTCAGTCCAGACTCATTCAATTGGAAATGATTCAAATAGTGATGATAAGTGCCAATACCAACAAATGATAAGCAATACCAATAAATGAAAGGGGCAGATGACAGCAGGTTGGTAAATTGATAGCTTTAGGAAAGCTGCAGTGCAGTTAACCAGGGGACTAACAGTTAGCTCCACTTTGTCATGTCCTTTCCAAATTGAAAGACACTACATTTTAAGTTTGCTGATTTCTCAAACATACCAAAGCATGATCGCAGACATTTTCAGCACTAATGTCAAATCACTGATTCTCTTTCTTGTAGTTTTCCCAGAGACAATAAAAGAGAAACAGCATAATAATTGCAAAGACTCAATAAAAAGAATAATAATTGTAAAGACTGCAATAGCTGGTTTCTCTTTAGCTCTGACTTTATGTTTTTTTAAACATAAAGAAAACATACTGGCCTTTCTCTAATGTTCCTGACAACTCATTACACACCTTCAATTACAGGTGCTCTATTCACTGAAAAGAATTTCCTATCAGGAGGAAACTAATTTTTAATTGTAGTACTGAAGAGAGAAGCTTGCATAGGCAAGTGCTCTATCACTGAGCTACATCCCCACCCCAGAAAAAAACTCTCCAAACTGTTATTATGGTCAAGGTAGAGGTCCTACTCTGAAATCATCCAGGTGTCCGACCAAATAAAACCACTTTGAGGTCATTATTCTGGAAATAGCAATGTTCTATGTTAATTTGTCACCATAATGAATCAATACTTAATTTTTGGGAAAACATTAATACTACAGCACAAGAAGAGTTTTTTTTTTTTATAGATTGTAGAATAAATTCAGTCATTCTAGGGAATAGTCATAATAACACACATTTGAGCTCACTGGAATAAAAGAGCACATATACACACTTTCAAATACATGGAAATAACAGAATGAGCACAAAGCAGTATTTCTTCCTTAAATGTTCTTAGCTGTGCAAACTTGTCCAGAATCAGGAAACTGAGACCTCCCTATAACATCCCTTCTCAGAGAGGGCAGAAAAGAAAAATAATTCTGGGTTGTCCCATGTGTCTTTGTAATTGAATGAACTTGGATAAAGGTACTCAGATGTCCAAAAATGGTAGTCAAGATGGAAGAAAGAGTGTGCACATCAAGAGATCTATACAGGCAATCATTTACTCCTGAACTGCGAGAGTTCCAGCTATGGAGGTTGTCTTTTTATGCATGGAGCCAGATGTTAGCTGGATTTTGTTTTTTTTCTTGAGATTTAAACAACTGTGCTTTAAAGTCAAATTGCAAGTCTCTGTCCTCCTCAAGATTTCTGTGGAAACCCCCACCCCCCACTATATGTTTTTATATGCATCTTTCATTCCGGCTGCCGATTTGGGAATATTTTCTGCTAGAATCTTGCCCAGGGTTTGCTCTCTACTCTCTGTCCTGAAGATACTCCAGTGAGGAATTGATATGGTTTGGGTCTAGATGCCCTCCGTCCCCAAGCTTCATGCAGTCATAGGTGGTTTTTTCAGAGGTGGCTGAATCTAGAGTGTGTGATGCTGGGACTAAGGTTGTGTGATTACTAAACCAGTACACTGATTGGTTTGGGACCTCCCTAATCCCGGTAGTCTGGATAAAATAAAAGGGGCAGAAAGACACTGTTAAGGTCTTCGGTTGCTTTGCTATCTTCATCTGCCATGACTATTGTCTCTCTGCCATGTGCCACCCTGTCTTGGAGCCAGCTGATTATGAACTGAAGCCTCTACAAACTGTGATCTTTTAAGTTT